ACCTTTTCCTGTCCTCCTCTCTCCCCAGTCTAATGGGGGAGCCCGCAGACCCCCCCAGACAACCTGGGTTGCATCTGTTTCCCAGCACATGGTGTGAGAATGTAAAATCACACAGCACGCCTTTCCTTGGCTGTATGCCTGTGTCTTCATTCCTCAGATTGCTTTAAGTTCTCGGTCAACACATGTGGTCAAATCACTCATCCTACCCCATCATAGAAAGTGCCATTGCCTTTGGAGATAGAGGAGTGGGATGATGAGCGGTTCTGGGGGGCTGGGGATTGAGGAGTTTCATGATTCCAAACCAGCCTCTTTCCCCGCCTCCTCTTTGGAGACTGGGCAGGATCCAGTTGCCCTCCACAGGGCCCTGACATCACCAGGACCCACTCCCTGCCCAGCCAGTCCTCTCCCTCATCACATGGGATTTCTCTCATCGGACCTCCCCAGACTATCTGTTCTGTGGCTTGGGGAAAGAGGAAACGGCACAGATTGGGAGGGGCTCAGGGCGGGTTTGGGGATGATGTGACAGGGCAGGTCCCTCTCTTTTTAGGAATCACTCGAGGAAACATTCTGCACATATTGGCTTTATCGACTGATGCTGGAATGGCTGTTGCCACGGCAGCAGAGGCTCCCACTGCAGTAGAGGATGGTGGGAAACTCAAGGGATGTGAAAGGAATCAAAAAAGAACCAGATAGAAGGAGAGGTCGCATTAGGGAGCGTCTGAAAGTTCCAGGATGCCAAGATGACTAAAGAGGCCACCACGGGGTGCCTTCGGCTCAGGTCATGATCCCAGGGTCCTGGGATCGAGCCCCACATCGGGCTCCCTGCTCGCCGGGAAGCCTGCTTCTCCCTCTCCCACTCCCTCTGCTTGTGTTCCTGCTCTCACTATCTCTCTCTCTGTCAAATAAATAAATAAATAAAATCTTAAAAAAAAAGTAAACAGGCCACCACATGGCTATGGCACAGCCCTTTAGAGAGTGGCAGTGAGAAGATGAACAGTACCGGGGGGACGTGGACGGAGAGAGGACTAGCACTCAAGGGGATTAGCACTGAATTAACTCATGAGATGAGCATGGAAGGTGCTTTCCATCTCATAAACTGACAGGTGGCCTCTCGTGCAGGAGGGATTGTGAGCGGTTAAAGGGGGGGATGGGGGGCTAGTGCCTCTCTTCTGGACAATCCTCTATCCTCAAAGGAGGCAGAATTTCAGGAGCTGTTTATTGAAGGAAAGGAAAGGAAAGGAAAGGAAAGGAAAGGAAAGGAAAGGAAAGGAAAGGAAAGGAAAGGAAAGGAAAAGAAAGGACTTGGGATTTGGGGCATGGGCTATCCCCGGAGAGGAGGCACGGAGGAACAAAAAAGGAGTAAAGACGGGGAAGAGACCGGGCTTGCACGCAGGGACCAGCGAGGGCTGGAAGAAAGGAGGGTCAGCTTCTGGGTGCAGTGGGCATGCAGGGACAAGGAAGTACAGGTGGACAGAGCAAAAAGTGGAATAGTGCCTCATAGTAATTCTGAAGATTAATTTGACAGGAGCAAACCTACAAACCTACTGGAGACGAGAGGCCAAATAAACCAAGGGGTGACAGCCTCAGGTCTGCCTACAGAAGTACGCACTGGGCGGGATGGACCACAGTGGAAATGATGGTTTTCAGCCAGATGGCAACCAGTTAATTTCTCCTTGTCCGCTAAAGAGATGATTTTACATACAGGGAAAAAACATAGAGATAATAAGCAAGAGCTACTGTAACCTGGTAAATCAGAGAACAAGGATCCCCAGATTCTCAAATTGCTATTTTTAGGAAAGGGGAAGTTCCTGTGTGATTGAATTAGGTGTGTCTGGTGCAAATTAGGGAATGACCCCTAAGGATGAGGACTTGAGAAGTGATTGTTTGCAGTTTCATTAAAGGGGGCCTGTGGGATGGGGGAGGAAGGGCATGGTTACCTGGAGACTTGGCACCAGTGATGGGGCTCGGTCCCTTCCTTGAGCTGGGATCTTGTGTTGGGGCATAAGCATGAGGACCTCATGTGTGCCCAGAGAGAAAAATCCCAGGACTGGTCTCACCTTTGGGTGCTCTCTGTGGCCGGGGCAAGTTCTGGCATGACACCACCTAAGTCCCTTTAACCAGATCTCTATTGCTTGTCATTCCCTATCTGAGATCACAAGCCTTGGTTCCACCCCTGAGTTTCCTAAGTGCTAGACATAGACTCTGAGGCCAGTCTGGTCTGCATGTGCCCTCTGGACCTTCTGCTAAGTTTTTGCACCCGGCCCCTTTTCTCTGCTCCTTTGAGGCAGCAGGGCGTGAGCCCGAACAACCTCTTGCTTTCTGCTCTCCTGGTCTGAACCCTTCTCTGTGTATACTGCTTAGTATTTCAGGAAGCCTTCAAGATCTCCTCCACCTCTTCTGCCTGGTGGGGCAGTCTCTTATTCCTATGCTCACATGTACCCAGCACCTAGCAAGGAAGTACCAGACTCTGGGGTTACAGCAGTGAATGAGACAGCCAGGGTCCCTGCTCTGCAGGGCTCGGTCTCCCGCAGGTCACTCCTGAAACTAGTATACACATACCCGTGTCTGCCTATCTGGGATGAGTGTGTTGGTGTATGTGACATTGCTTTTTCACAGGGTCAGGATGATTATTTTCCCAGATCTGTGTTGTCTATCTTGTACTCCCCCTGTCAGACATTGAATTCCTTGAGGGCAGAATTCTCCATCTTTCTCTGTATTGACCAAAACCCAGCCAAGGGCCCGTGCTTCTTACCAACACCCCTCTGCTTGAGAACTGTGTGTTCTTGGTATTGTGGTAAGCACATCCTCCCAGTGATGATCCCTGTCCTTGCAGATTTTGTTGTATCTCAATCCAGCCCTGGGATTATGGAAGGCAGAGGCCTGGGGACAGACACTACCAGGACCCAAGAGTCATAGAGGGGACAGACCCAGTGTACAGCGCTCGGGCCTTCAAATCCATTGTACTAACACAGTTGTGGCATCTGCTTCCTGCAAGGTGCTGAGAGACATAGTTCTGTACCCAGAAAGCTCCAGTACTGGTGGAGGAGACAGACATGTACACAAATACCTCTCACACCAAGCAAGCTGTGATGATTAGCACTAGGAAAGTGGGTGAACCATGAGACCCAGCCACAGGGTTGTTCAGATTCTAAGGAGACAGGCAGGAAGCTAGAGAGAGGAAGGTTGGGGATGGGGTGGGCAGATAATCTGACGGTTACCACATTCTGGCAAAGAGTTCTTGAGGTGCCTGGCTGGCTCAGTTGGAAGAGCATGCAAATATTGATCTCGGGGCCAACAGTTCGAGCCCCATGTTGGATGTAGAGATCACTAAAAAAAATAGATAAACTAAAAAAAAAAAAAAAAAAAAGAATTCTTAGGGCTTTATCCCCAGTGTGTGGCTCCATCTGGGGCCCACCTCTTCTGGAGCAAGCTTTGCTTCCAGAGTCATACCCTCTGCTTTCTCCTGTTCCTCATTTTCTTGCCTGAGAACCGTTTGCTCAGGCAACTTGGCACTGACCTGGGAGGCCATGGGAGAATGGGCAGTGTCGCCCTCTACTGAGGGAGTGCCCTAGGCGGACTGCTGCTTGCTCCATCCCTCTTGGCCTCTACTCCTTCCACCCTTTCTTCCCTGAGTCCAAGTGGGAGGAGGGAGAAAGGAAAATGTTGTCTTTTTAAATTGCTCTGCAGTCCCACTTTAGATCAGGCCTGCAGGGGACCCGTGCTAAGCCTCCAACTGATTTCCTAGGTTTGACAAAGCGCTTTACAGTGCCAAAGCCCTTTTACCCATTAAGCTGGTATTATAACCACTGTAAGAGAAGACAGCGAGCCAAAGGGGTGCAGTGACTTTGACAAGGTCAATGAGAATGGGAATCCAATCTCCTGATCCCAACGGTTGGTCCTTTCCGCCAAGCCCTGAGCCCCCTCCCCCGTCAGCCCTCGGCCCATCACTCCGAGCCACCCCTGTCCCAACCCCTTCGCCCTACCCCAGGGAGTATCCCCTACCTCTGGAGGGCAGCCGAGAGCCTCCGAGACTGAAGTAAGATGGTACTGGGAGTTTCCTGGAGGGAAACCGCCACGGTTTGGTGTGGGGGTGGGGAAACCAGCAACCTGGATTGTACGGCTTCCCCAACCCCGCTCCCAGCATCTCTCCCGGTCCCACGAGCCCAATTTCCCTCCTGCATCATGAGCTGCCCTGTCTCAGTCCCTTTTACCTGCGCCTCACATCTCCTCGACAGATCCTTTTCACTGCCCCCCCCCCACTCTGGGCGTGGCAGAGGACCACGGTGCCCTCCGAGAACGCGTCCCGCCTCCGCGTGGAAAGCGAGGAGGAAAACTGGTGGAATCCTTTATCTCCCCCCAGCCCCCTACTCATCCGCCCCTGGATCTCTGCCGCAAAAACCACCCCCTCCCGAGCCAGAAATAGACACACACTCGCTCTCCCCCAACTCCCTCCCTCGCGCACACTCCTCCCCTCCTCCTGTTTGCTCCTCCGCCTTCCCCTCCCCTCCTTCCTGCGCTCGGAGCTGCAGCCCGCAGCCTCTACTCAAGCTGGCGGGCGGAGTGCCGCGAGGGAGCTGCGGAGCAGTGCTCGGCCCGCGGGACTGACAGGCGGGCGGGCGGAGGGCCGGCACCCGGGCATCGGAGCACCTCTGCGCGCCCACCGAGCCGCCGGGCTTCCATTCTTCCTTTGATTTGTAAATTTTAATTTGTATTTTCCCCGCCCCGCCCCTTTTCCTCCGACCCCGCCCCATCGCCCCACGGTTTCCTCGCTCTTTCCTTTTCCTCTCTTCTTTCCTTGCGTTTCTTTTCCCTGAGCCCTTGCTCTCCTGTCTCCCTCCTCCCTCGCTCCCTCCCCCTTCCTCTCCCCATCTTCCTCGGTTTCTTCCGTCCTTTCTCTCCCCCTCCCCTCCCCCGCCTCCTTTTCCCTGCGCTCCCTCCCCCCCCCCCCCCCCGCCGTGCCTGCAGACGCGCGGATCGTCCATGCGCTCCTCGCGGGCAGAATGCTGGGCAGCAGCGTCAAGAGCGTGCAGCCCGAGGTGGAGCTGAGTGGCGGCGGCGGCGGGGACGAGGGCGCGGACGAGCCTCGGGGCACCGGGAGGAAGGCGGCAGCGGCGGACGGCAGAGGCATGCTGCCCAAGCGCGCCAAGGCGCCCGGCGGCGGTGGCGGCATGGCCAAGGCCAGCGCGGCCGAGCTGAAGGTCTTCAAGTCTGGCAGCGTGGACGGCCGAGTCCCCGGAGGACCTCCCGCCTCCAACCTGCGCAAGCAGAAGTCGCTCACCAACCTCTCGTTCCTCACCGACTCGGAGAAAAAGCTGCAGCTCTATGAGCCCGAGTGGAGCGACGATATGGCCAAGGCGCCCAAGGGCTTGGGCAAGGCGGGGTCCAAAGGCCGCGAGGCTCCGCTTATGTCCAAGACGCTGTCCAAGTCGGAGCACTCGCTCTTCCAGGCAAAGGGCAGCCCGGCGGCCGGCGCCAAGACCCCCCTGGCTCCCCTCGCGCCCAGCCTGGGAAAGCCGAGCCGGATCCCGCGCGGCCCCTACGCTGAGGTCAAGCCGCTCAGCAAGGCTCCTGAGGCAGCCGTGAGCGACGATGGCAAGTCGGACGATGAGCTGCTCTCTAGCAAGGCCAAGGCGCAAAAGGGCTCCGGGCCCGTGCCCTCCGCCAAGGGCCAGGAGGAGCGCGCCTTCCTCAAGGTGGACCCCGAGCTCGTGGTGACCGTGCTGGGAGACCTGGAGCAGCTGCTCTTCAGCCAGATGCTGGGTAAGTCCTGCCTCCCCCGCCCCACCCCTGGCTTTCTCCTAGCCAGCTGCAAGGGAAGGTGTAGAGAGAGCACAGCTCCCTCCCTTTTTCTCCTCCTCTCGGTAGGGCTCTCCAGATTTCGGTCAGGTTGTGAGGGGGCATTGGGCCCAGATGTGCAGGGCCGGCCTACCTCCAGAAGCGCATGGCTAAAGTGCGTCTTCTTAAAGATGTCACCAGGCAGGAGCCCAGGCTCTGCTCTGGCCTGCCTGAGGTGAGGCTGGACAATGGTGTAGGGGGTCACAGATTCTCAGAAATAGAGCCCATTAGCTTCCTCGAATTTTAAAGCCCAGAATCCTAATATGGCAAAATCTGGGGCTGATGGAGACCTCAGTTGTGTTGTGCTCTGTGCTTGGCGAGAGAGCATCCAGCATGGCTAGGGGAGAGTGCAGTGAGAGCCCGGATCTAGAGGACAGATGTGGGGAAAGCAGATGTGAGGGCTGTTTGGCCCCAGAGCAGAGCCGAAGCTCCACTTCCTCTGTGGATCCCCGGTGGGAGCGCGAGTCGGATTTCCCGGGTGTGGGGGTTCTGGCAAGGAGACACGTCTGGGGCCAGGGGGCGGGCGGGCAGCCAGCTGTGCGCATCTGGATGTTCGTCCTGTACCTCGGCCCAGGCTCTGGCCCAAACCCCTACCCCCCAGGTTTTTTACAGAGTGTGGAGAGGTCTGGGCTCTCGCGCGGAGACTCCTGGTTGACTGGGAAGCCTTTGCCCTTTGGCTAGTGGAAGCCGAGCGGGCGGGAAGGGAGGAACAAAGCTTGCTCGGGCGGAGGAAGCGCCGAGAGCTGCCCCATTGTTCTCCAAGCCTGAAGAGTCTATGCAAAAAAACCCGGAGCGGGCCCCGGAACTGCGCTCGCTTTTCCCCGGAGAGCCCTCGCCCTGAGGGGGATAGATCCGGGATGTGCAGGACGCAGGGCTGCCGCGCCTCGGGAGCCGGCATGGGTCGTGCCGGGGCCACGGGAGGACGGCGGCAAGGCCTGGAGCCCGAGCGGGCCTCCTAGGCTCCGCGGACTTGTTGCGGTGGCTGGGATGTGGGTCCTCCGGCACCGAGGGACCCGAGCTTCCCGGGTACCAGACAGGCTGCCCGCCCCGCTGGGGGCTGGGAAGGGGCGTGTACGTGCGCGTGTGAAGGGGCGGGGCCGACGCGGGCTATGGTCCGAGGACCGGCTGGAGGAGATGCGGCGGGTGGGGTGGATGGAGGGTGGGGGTGTTCGACTGGCAGCCCTGGAGAGTGCAGAGCTAGAGAAGACTGGTTGGACCTGCTGCTGTCATCCCCGGACCCCCAGACCCCGGTGTGGCCAGCAGGAGGAACCGCTGACCAGGAGCAAGAGCCTCTTGGAGCTTTGGATTGGGAGCCTCTCCTAACAGGCCACATTTGGGCTTTGCAGGGGCAGTCAGGAGACTGCACAAGGGCAAAGAAGGGAAGAGCAGCTTTTTGCCTAGGAGAGCCCCTCCTGAAGGCCCCAGCCTCAGCAGGGACAAGCCAGGATTGGGGGTTCAGGGGTGCAGAAGCTGACAGGGCAGCCTCCTGCTGCAGAGGGAGAGTACCACCCCTGTGCCAAGTGAGGCCCTCAAGGAGCTTACGGTCTAGTGGGGTGAGACAGACAGGAAGAAAAAAATAATTCCAGACAGCAGGAGGGCCATGAAGAAAATGGAAGGGGCCCCTGTGATAGAGGACTGGAAAGGAGTGGTCTTTAACCTTAAGGAGGTGAGAACTGAATTGTGTCTGAGGCCAGAGGAGGCACCGGCTGGGGGAGGAACATTCCCCAGGCACTAAGAAGCGGATGTGGATGGGGTGTGGATGGTGCCAGAGGAGAGGAATTGAGTGTCTGACTGTGTCCTGAGAGGGGAAGGGAGTGTCAGGGACTCAGAAAAGTAGAGGGCACCACAGCTCCCTTTTCAAGGTCAGGGCTTCACTGGTTTGGGATGTCTTAGCTGATCTGGGCTGTCCCCAGACGGGCAAGACCCAGCACTGCCCCAGGACCTGGCTGCCTCCTTAGTTGTTCTTCAAGAGACAGTCACCTGAGAAACCCTGACAGATAGTCTTAGAGCTGCGTGGGGGGGGGGGTGGTGGAGGGCAAGGGGGGAAGC